GTATTTCCCCACTAGGGAGACAACAGACTCTGTACACAGCCACTGTAGAAGTCAATGAATATACGTGTGTATGCATGAGTACATGCATGTACACTGTATTACCAAAAGTATTGGGACACCCCTCTAAATCATTGGATTCAGGTGTTCCAATCACTTTCAGCACTATCACACATTGAGTAACAATTACTCAGTCATGCAACACTATACCGCTATGACATTTTTCTCCTTTTTTGAGACAGATAGAGCTTTCTTTTTTGGTGGTATTTGATCACCACTGGGGTTTTTTATTTTTTGCTATATACATGAAAAAATACAGAAAATTTTGAAAAAAAAAATTACTTTTGCTTAGTTTTTGTTATAAAATTTTGCAAATAGATAATTTTTCTTCATAAATTTAAGCCAAAATGTATTCTGCTACATTTTTGGGGTAAAAATAACCCAAAGCAGTTTATGTTATTTAGTCTGTGTGAAAGGTATAGGGGCTGCAAACTATGGGATATATGTTTGAAAATTGATCAGCTGAGATCCTGGTATGGCATATGGCAGTGATCGGGATGCTGGTATGGGGTGTGGCGATGATCACGACATTAGCATGAGGTATTAGAATGCTGGTATGGCAGTAGCCAGCATGCTGGTATGGGGTAAGGCGATGATCAGGATGCTAATATGGCATATGGGGTGATCAGGATGCTGGTATAGGGTATGGCGGTAATCAAAATGCTGGTATCAGCTATGGCAGTGATCAGAACGCTGGTATGGGGTATGGTGGTTATCAGGGTGATGGTATGGGGTATGGCAGTGATCAGGATGCTGGTATGGGGTATGGCGGTGATCAGGACGCTGGTATGGGGTATGGTGGTGATCAGGGTGATGGTATGGGGTATGGTGGTGATCAGAACGCTGGTATGGGGTATGGTGGTGATCAGGACACTGGTATGGGTTATGGTGGGTGATCAGGATGCTGGTATGGGATATGGCGGTGATCAGGACACTGGTATGGGTTATGGTGGTGATCAGGATGCTGGTATGGGGTATGGTGGTGATCAGGATGCTGGTATGGTGTATGGCGGTGATCAGGGTGCTGGTATGGTGTATGGCGGTGATCAGGGTGCTGGTATGGCGGTGATCAGGGCGCTGGTATGGTGTATGGTGGTGATCAGGGTGCTGGTATGGTGGTGATCAGGGTGCTGGTATGGTGTATGGTGGTGATCAGGATGCTGGTATGGGGTATGGCGGTGATCAGGGTGCTGGTATGGTGTATGGAGGTGATCAGGGCACTGGTATGGGTATGAGGGTGGTCAGGGCACTGGTATGGGGTATGAGGGTGATCTGGGCACTGGTATGGGGTATGAGGGTGATCAGGGCACTGGTATGAGGGTGATCAGGGCACTGGTATGGGGTATAAGGGTGATCAGGGCACTGGTATGGGGTATGAGGGTGATCAGGATGCTGGTATGGGGTATGGAGGTGATCAAGATGCTGGTATGGTGTATGGAGGTGATCAGGGCACTGGTATGGGGTATGAGGATGATCAGGGCACTGGTATGGGGTATGAGGGTGATCAGGATGCTGGTATGGGGTATGAGGGTGATCAGGATGCTGGTATGGGGTATGGCGGTAATCAGGATGCTGGTATGGGGTATGCGGTAATCAGGATGCTGGTATGGTGTATGGCGATAATCAGGATGCTGGTATGGTGTAGGAGGTGATCAGGCACTGGTATGGTGTATGGCGATAATCAGGATGCTGGTATGGTGTATGGAGGTGATCAGGGCACTGGTATGGTGTATGGAGGTGATCAGAGTGCTGGTATGGCATATGGCAGTGATCAGGGTGTTGGTTTGGGGTATGGCGGTGATCAGGACACTGGTATGGTGTATGGGGGTGTTTTGTGCACACTGGCACAGGTGACAGAGCCTCCCTGCATTATTTATTATTGTTATTGTGGGGCAGTGATCAGGGACACAGGGGCACTATACTGGGGTGGCTGGCACTGCAATGTGTGAGTGTACAAGTAGCCTGACAGGTTGCTGTACACTCACACACTGCAGGATCACTTCTCTCTGCTCTCACACTGAGAGCAGAGAGAAGTGATCTTTACTTTCAGTTTCCAGTATTTACTATGTGATTGCTGTGATTGGTCACAGCATTGACATGGTAAAACACCACGTGATCGCCCGTACACAGCAGTAATGTGATCATCTGTCTCCAGGTGACACACTGATCACAGGGTCCCGGGGTGAGCCGTGCAGGAGCCATTGATGCGGGCTGACGTACAGGACAGTTAGCCCGCATCGGCGCTGCTTCCCATCTGCTCATTGTACATAGACGGCAGACAGGAAGCAGCGCAAAGAGGTTAAGGGGATCAAGTGCTCCTTGCAAAGACTGTATGCTGATTCTTCAGAAGAGCCAATCCTGAAGGAGTAGATAGACTAGGATCTGTTCTTTTATGATTTTGCTGGATTTTTGTCCTTTTAGTCCTCTAAGTTATTTCAGTTCCATTGGGGCATCCCATTTACCCCTAGACCCCATCCAAGTTATTAACCCCTAACAAAACAACAAAAAACAACTCATGAACTGTTTACTGACTGTGGATGCAAATGTGGAAAATGCGTGTTTCCTGGCTGTGAAGCCCTTAGGGGGACCCACAAATTCTGTGGCCCTCAAGAGGGTAGCGCTACATTGATCTTAGAGCATGTGCATGTCTGCGGTTCTCATCTAAGAGGGGATTCTGATCTAAGTGTGGACTCCTGATCTAAGGGGGGTTTCCATGATCTAAGGGGAATTTTGATCTAAGAGGGGACCCTAAGGTAAAAGGGAAATGATCTAAGGTTTATTGTGTAAAAAGGCTGTTTGTTCCTTTCTTCTTTGTACCCTCCCCTTTTTCAAGCGACCACCACTTATCTCCAGACTGAACCGTAGACATGCACATGCTCAGTTTGGTGTGTATTGCTAGAGAGGATTTTTCTTTTTCTTGGGAGAGTTCATGTGATCAGCACAGGGTCAATCAGCACTGTCCAGACAGAGGTCAGGGGATTTGCATCCTCCTAGAGCAGAAAGAAAACGCCTCTTACAAGCTTTAACTAGTGCTGTGCTGGACACTGATAGAAGTCACAAGACTGCTCTAACTGCTGATGAGAAAAGGTTTAAGGAGGAGCCATACACAGTGACGTCACGCTGCTGAGACCACGTGGAGGTCCGGCGGCCATCTTTAATCCTCATATGGTCAGTGTCATTTTACCTTGTCCATCTGATATACTTGAAATAAACGTTATTTGGATATACTACACAATGGGCATCCCTCTTTTTGGCTCTTTATGAGCTGATACTAATACAGAGCCCATTCTGGAGGACGGCTGAGGTGCTGCAGCCAACCCAGGGGAAGGGGATCTCTCTGACCAGACCAGGCTGTATACATCCTTAAGGGGACCTCCGGCTGACAACTTAACATACAAAATGCGTATTATGATTACGCATCTGGTGAGTGCGTAATCTTAACATATTCACGGCACAGCACCTGGATAATTGTTAGATATATACGGAGCACTTACCTAAGATCATTTTTGGACGGATCTTCATGATTAGCACTTTATGGACATTCCTATGATCATTTATTGGAATTAGATATTTTAGCACCATTATGTGCTCACAATTGCCACTTCATTAGCACTGTATTGTGGATACAATTTATTAACACTATATTTGCACTTTGTCACTTTATTTACTAGTAATTGTTTGATTTATGCATTTATACTTTTATTGCATATGGTTACATTATATTGATATATTTGGTTATTTTAGCGCTGCACCTATATTTATTCGATTGCTTTGGAGGTTGTTTTTGGTTACCTTTTCGGTGCATCAGCTGCTCACGGTTTTAGCACTCGCTTTTTCTGCTTTTATCATATGATGAGAAAAAGTATTTAGCAGTTTATATTTACTAAAATAATTGCACTTCCATGTTCTGTGTACTGTGGGAGACCAGATATATAGTATGATGCAGGGTCCGGGGAGACCAGATATAGTGAATGCAGGGTCCTGGGAGACCGGATATAGTGAATGCAGGGTCCGGGAGACCAGATATAGTAATGCAGGGTCCGGGGAGACCAGATATAGTGAATGCAGGGTCCGGGGAGACCAGATGTAGTGAATGCAGGGTCCGGGAGACCAGATATAGTGAATGCAGGGGTCCGGGAGACCAGATATAGTGGATGCAGGGTCCGGGGAGACCAGATATAGTGGATGCAGGGTCCTGGGAGACCAGATATAGTGAATGCAGGGTCCGGGAAGACCAGATATAGTGAATGCAGGGTCCGGGAGACCGGATATAGTGAATGCAGGGGGAGACCAGATCAGGGGAGACCAGATATAGTGAATGAAGGGTCAGGGGAGACCAGATATAGTGAATGCAGGGTCAGGGGAGACCAGATATAGTGATTGCAGGGTCAGGGGAGACCAGATATAGTGAATGTAGAGTCCTGGGAGACCCGATATAGTGAATGTAGGGTCCTGGGAGACCAGATATAGTGAACACAGGGTCAGGGGAGACCAAATATAGTGAATGCAGGGTCAAGGGAGACCAGATATAGTGAATGCAGGGTTCGGGGAGACCAGATATAGTGAATGCAGGGTCCTGGGAGAATAGATATAGTGAATGCAGGGTCCGGGGAGACCAGATATAGTGGATGCAGGGTCCGGGAGACCAGATATAGTGAATGCAGGGTCGAGGAGACCAGATATAGTGAATGCAGGGTCCTGGGAGACCAGATATAGTGAATGTAGGGTCCTGGGAGACCAGATATAGTGAATTGCAGGGTCAGGGGAGACCAAATATAGTGAATGCAGGGTCAGGGGAGACCAGATATAGTGAATGCAGGGTCCGGGGAGACCAGATATAGTGAATGTAGGGTCCTGGGAGACCAGATATAGTGAATGCAGGGTCCGGGAGACCAGATACAGTGGATGCAGGGTTCGGGAGATAGATACAGTGGATGCAGGGTCCGGGGAGACCAGATATAGTGAATGCAGGGTCCAGGAGACCAGATATAGTGGATGCAGGGTCCGGGAGACCAGATATAGTGAATGCAGGGTCCGGGGGGGAGACCAGATATAGTGAAATGCAGGGTCCTGGGAGACCAGATATAGTGAATGCAGGGTCCGGGAGACCAGATATAGTGAATGCAGGGTCCGGGAGACCAGATATAGTGAATGCAGGGTCCGAGGAGACCAGATATAGTGAATGCAGGGTCCTGGGAGACCAGATATAGTGAATGTAGGGTCCTGGGAGACCAGATATAGTGAATGCAGGGTCAGGGGAGACCAAATATAGTGAATGCAGGGTCAGGGGAGACCAGATATAGTGAATGCAGGGTCCGGGGAGACCAGATATAGTGAATGTAGGGTCCTGGGAGACCAGATATAGTGAATGCAGGGTCCGGAGACCAGATACAGTGGATGCAGGGTTCGGAGACTAGATACAGTGGATGCAGGGTCCGGGAAGACCAGATATAGTGAATGCAGGGTCCAGGAGACCAGATATAGTGGATGCAGGGTCCGGGAGACCAGATATAGTGAATGCAGGGTCCGGGGAGACCAGATATAGTGAATGCAGGGTCCAGGAGACCAGATATAGTGAATGCAGGGTCCGGGAGACCAGATATAGTGAATGCAGGGTCCGGGAGACCAGATATAGTGAATGCAGGGTCCGGGGTTTAGTAAAAGTTTAATGATTGCTGAATTAATTTGCAACTGAAATCATATCTTTATTTTTTTTTTTGCTCTCTGTGTTGCAGATCCAGCCTAATGCTGGCCATTTTGGCAGCTCATTTGTAAAGGGGCCATATGCATCTCTCAGCGCACCAGCGTCGTGTGTGTAGCATTGCCCGGCCACCTGTACTGATCTAAAGACAGACATGATAGGAAGTCCCCGGTGGATTCTGGGAGCTGGCCTCTTCTTGGTGTGTCCTGAATAAACATTCATTTCCCTAACCCTGCCGACACCCGTCCACAATGACCCACTGTGCCCGTCAGATCGTCCCTACAGTTCATAGATTTACTTCAGTGTCACCAATGCGTCATGCGTTTCTCTCCAGTTTTTTCCGTAATTGTAAGCTTCTTGACCTACCGGCTTGTGTTGGTTCTAAGGACACAACCTGGCATTTTCCTCCAGGGATCCCGGCTATATTTCTGCCGTCTGGAACAGGTGTGAGGATGATGTTGACTCTCGGGCTGTTTGTAAGGTTTAAATATGTAAAAATCAGTTTGTGTGGTCAGAAGTGAGTCAGAGGGGTCTAAATTTAGACGTCTCCCTGTGATTTTCCAGCAACTGATCCTGGACAGGGAGCTGTGTAAGCGCAAGAAGTGACGGCTGCTGACAGCTCCAGAGGAACGTATGCAAAGTAGCGTCTTGGGGATTTCACTCGCTGACTTAGCAAGCAAACGGCGGCGGAGGCGAGAAGTGTTTCTGGTGCGTTCAGCAGCCTGCTATCACGTATCGGATTTAGTCGACGCAGATACCTCAATGAATTGGTCATTTAGGACTTGCATGGATGGGCTTTTGTTTGCGGCAGACGGGTTTTGCATTCCTATGCAAGTCTATGGGATGGCAGCAAGGCAAAATGCAGGTTAAAAGGAGGTCATCTGCACCGATGAATCCTGAATGACCTCAAACTGACGCCAACAACACAAACCCAAAGCCCATAAACACAAGACTTTAATATGAGTTCCACTCAACCTAGCAAAAAATAAAAGTCAACAGCTACAAAAACTGTAGCTGCTGACTTTTAAAAAACAGCCACTTACCTGTCCCAGGGTCCCGTGGTGTGTCCCACGTAGCCAGGGGCGGACTGACAACTCATGGGGCCCCCGGGCAATAGGGGATCATGGGGCCCCTGTGTCCTTGCCCAAACTCAAAAAAGCCTATGAAAAAGGTACCAGGGGCATCTCATGGGGCCTCCTACTGACCCCGGGCCCTCAGGCAGTGCCCGAGTTTCCAAATGGTCAGTCCACCCCTGGACTGAACTTTGCTTCTACTGAGCCACTGACCCATAATAACCTTGCATCCAGTGAATGAATAACTGCTATGCACAACTTATTCAAAGTATTTCACGCACTAAGTAGTGGAGCAAGGATGAGGGCAGGGGCGGACTGACAACTCATGGGGCCCCCGGGCAATAGGGGATCATGGGGCCCCTGTGTCCTTGCCCAAACTCATAAAAGCCTATGAAAAAGGTACCAGGGGCATCTCATGGGGCCCCCTACTGACCCAGGGCCCTCGGGCAGTGCCCGAGTTTCTAAATGGTCAGTCCGCCCCTGCACGCAGCTCATTTCACTGGCCGCCCTGTATTCCAGGAGGCTGGCATCTTCAGTGTGGGCACCCGGCTGTGATAGCTTGCGGCTTCACAGCCGGTGTGCCCACTGCGCATGCGCGAGTAGCATTGCGCTTCATGAATGGTCCTGTAGTCTTCTGGGATCTGTCACGTGTCCCAAAAGACTACAAGGAGGGAGGGAGAACACCTTCCACTTCCAATCGCCTAGGCGATCGGACCAGAAGTAGGAGCGGTACCTGTCAAATTCGGGTACCCGCTCCCCAAAGGTGCCAATCCTTAATGGAGAGCAGTCCTTAAAGCAGAACTTCCCCTTTGGGTGGCGCTCCGCTTTAACCACTTGAGCTCCCCCTTTGTGACCAGAGCATTTCTGGCTATTCGGCACTGCACTACTTTAACTGGCAATTTGCGCAGTCATGCAATGCTATGCCCAAATTCAATATATAGCATTTTTTTCACACAAATAGTGCTTTCGTTTGGTGGTATTTGATCACTGCTGGGTTTTTCACTTTTTATTATATAAATGAAAAAAGACCAACATTTTTTAAAACAAAACAATATATTATATTTTCGGTTATAAAACATATCCAATAAAAACAAATTTAAAAAATCAAATTTCTTCATAAATTTAGGTCAAAAATGTATTCTGCTACATGTCTTTGGTAGAAAAAAAAATAAATAAGAACAAGTATATATAAATTGGTTTGTGCAAAAGTTATAGCATCTACAAACAATGATATATATACTGGAATTTTTTATTTTATTTTTTTTTTTTAGTGCTAGTAATGGCGGCAATCATTGGGACTGTGAAAGTGTGGCAGGCAATCTGACACTAACTGACGCTGAGTGGGAACTGATTACATGATATTGACAGCTTCCCTCCTCTCCTTCCCACCAGCAGCTGCAAGCACACAATAGGATCCTTCAGGATGGAGAGTGGGGGAAGGGTCCTGTAAATACGTCACATTTACCAGCCCCTTCCTTTCCTGAATGAACAGAATGAGTTTTCGGTACCAATCACTCGCTGTGTTCATTCATGACTGAAGCATATAAAACTGGGGGGGGGGGGGGGGGTCGGGGGGGCTGTCAGGTTAGCTGTATGGGGCCCCTTGGTTTCTAACAGCAGCTTTGGCTGTAGCGAATGACAGCACAGAAAGGGCAACGCGTGCATGTGCCCCCTACGCGGGAATGCCAGATCCCATACATGTACAGTACATGATCTGGCTCAGCGGGGCCGCTCTTCTGCAGTAAAACTGTGGTAGGGGGGACCACAAGTGGTTTTAATGTGCATAGCATTTAAATGGACAATATTATTATTTATTACAGGTACTTATATAGCGCCATCAAGTTATGCAGCACGTTACATATATATTGTACATTCACATCAGTCCCTAACCCTACCAACATCAGACCCCCCACCCCCTGAGAAAACCTGCTAGTGACCAACAACACCCCTGCCCCCCCCCCCCCCCCCAACCAAGAGAGTCTTCTACTAACACCCACCTCCCCCCTGCAACAGAGAAAAAACGAGAGTCTGGCTCTGCATTCACCGTCAAGCAGCCTGCAGTCTCTTTCAGATCCCACGTCGTCCCTGTGCCACATTTGTTCCTTTTTCCTGGGGGGGGGGGGGGGGGGGGGCTGCCCCCCAGAAAAATGCCACCCTAGGCAAATGCCTTGTTTGCCTTGTGGTAAATACACCCCTGCCCTAACTTACATTCATACATACACATCCTCCTCCCACGCACGTCTGCAAAACTTCTCCAGGTCCTCCCCCATCCTCTGGAACTCACTACCCCAATCCATCAGACTGTCACCTTCCCTCCTCACCTTCAGGCGCTCCCTGAAAACCCACCTCTTCAGGGAAGCCTAACCCACCCTCACCTAACTGCCGTTCTCCTTCATTCCCCCTACCACTCCATCCCCCACAGCCACTTCCTCCTGTACCACTACCCCCTCCCTCCTAGATTGTAAGCTCGAAAGAGCAGGGCCCTCTAACCCCTCGTATGCGGTTTGTAGTTGCTGTACTGTTTCATGTATTGTTCCCCCCGCTATTGTACAGCGCTGAGCAAACCCTTTGGCGCTATATAAACTCGATGAAATGTAATGTAATACTAGGGTCAATTTAGACAGAAACCAATTAACCTACCAGCAAGTCCTTGGAGTGTAGGAGGAAACCAGAGTACCCGCACAGGCACAGGGAGAACATGCAAACTCCAGGCAGGATTCAAATGATGATCCTAGCACTGCCAGGCAGAAGGGCTAACCATTTAGCCACTGTGCTGCCCACAATGTCAAACTAATTCCGAAATTTGACATATTTACATACTACAGAAGTCTATAGCACTCGCAAGGCATTTAACGATCAGTAAAAATGAAGTCCGTTCGGTAGGTAGACCCCCGATCCCCTATAGTGAGGATTGCCGGATGTGTGGAGGATAAACTTTGTTGAACTCACAGACTTTCTGGGAATGCTGAGATCGGGGAGAAGAATTCCAGGCATGGCTGGAGAATTGCTGCAAGCAGGAGTGGGTGGCTTAGCTTAGCTGTTAGGCAGACGTACAGGTCAGACAAATATTGGCAACACAGATAAAAGGTAATGTATACTGAAGTATAAATCACACTCCATTTATATACCACCAGCTATACGTCTGTGGAAACCCTAACAGTCAACTTTTCTTATTTGCTCCCTTTTTGGTTTGTTAAATATACCAGGGCTTTCTTTCTGCCGGAACGCGGCGGTACTGCGTTCCGCCACCTTTTTCTTCTTGTCCCCGCTCACCGACTGCCTCTGCAGAGCTGACAAGCTATGCAGAGCAGCGAAAGTGACAGGTGCCGGACGCGGCTTGTTTATGTCATGCTTGCGCGTGCCCGGCACCTGTCACTGCCGCTGCTCACAGCCGGTGAGCGGGGACATGCACGCTTCACCCCCCCCCCCTCTACCGCCAGCGTGTAAACATCGGGGGCGCGGACGATGGGCGAGGACACTATGCACGCTTCACCGCCCCCCCCCGCCGGCGTGTAAACATCGGGGGCGGCGCGGCGACATCAACGGCAGTGACAGCGTGGACGCAGGGGCCGTACAGCTTGGAGTAGGTAAGCTGCGCTCGGCTCCCTGTCACTGACTGCAGTATCATGTATTGCTCTAAATTTTTACTCTCTCCCCAGCCTGTGCCCACCTAAACTATCCCAACCACCTGTGCCCACCTAAACTATCTGAGCCCACCTAAACTATCCTCACCCACCTGAGCCCACCTAAACTATTTCAGAACGCAATTGCTCAGCGCTCAGCGGCGCCGATCGAGAGCGCCCCTCCTGTGCATGAGGAACAGGAAAGATAAATTCAGTGATGGACGGTATTTTTTGGAGGAAAAGGTGGC